AAAATCCAACAGCCCTAAACCCTAAACCCCTAAACCCAAACAAAAAAAAAAACACCCTGAGCCCGACCTCTGGGATGGCGCCTCCCTCGGAGATCAGCTTGACTAAGGCCGGGACGATCAAGTCATCGGGTCCTGAGACCTGGGCTCTTTTTTTCAGGGGTTTAGGGGGGTTTTGGGGTTCCTTAAAGGGTTCCTTAAAGGGGATCTATGGGGTTCCTTTAAAGGGTTCCTTAAAAGGCTATAGGGTTTTGGGGTTCCTTAAAGGGTTCCTTAAAAAAGGGATCTATAGGATCTACAGGGTTTGGGGGTCGCTTAGCCTTGTAGGGTTTAGGTTTTTAGTGGGTTCGGGTTTAAGGGTTTAATTAGAGTTTGGGGATCAATGTTTGGGTTTCTGTTTAAGGCACTTAAGCCACCATAAAAAAGGATTCCCGGTCTTTCACTATGGATTGGTTTATGGTTAGGGAACTTAAGTTAACAGTTAAGCCACATGATCAGCTCTTATCTACTATAGATCCCCTTCTTGCGGAGGAGCTGAACTTAAGATACCCTACTACGGAAACCCTATTATCTGCAGTTGATGATATAAAACCAGCATTACCATAAGGACCCTAAACTATCGGAATTATAGTATATTCCTTATTATGGGTAATGCAGGGTTTATATCATCAACTTTGTCTGAGCCCCAATGTTGGTGACTTACTACTGCACCCTAAACCCTAAACCCTCAACCCGAAGGTGGCACCTCGAGCATGGCGCCAACCTCGATGACGCCTGTCTTCGTGGGCACGAACATGGCGGAATGGATGCCATACCTTTAGGACGACATGAACCCTAAAGGATTTAAGGTTCAGGGTTTAGGGTTTAGAATGTTTTAAGGTTCATATACGATATGGGAATCATATGGTAGGGTATTAGGAGCTCAACTTATAGCGGTCATTTGGCGGCCCAGGAACTCCGCTGCCAGGGTGGTGCGCTTGTAGACCCAGAGGGAAGGACCGAACATGCTGTCGCGGACCTAAACCCCCAAAAATCCCAAAAAAGATCCCTTAGACCCCAACACCCTAAACCCCAAAAAGGATCCCTTAGACCCCAAACCCTGAACCCAACAAAAGATCCCTTAGACCCTAAACCCTAAACCCCAACAGGCCCTAAGCTCTAAACCCCCCGGCAGGACCTGCTGCTCGGTGAGGCGCTGGAGGTCCGGCACGAAGGTAGCCTTCTGTTGCTGGAAGACTTGACCGACGAGGCCCTCACCTGGGCTCTTCTCTTCAGGAGCGTAATTTCTAGGTATTAGGGTGACCCCCCGTAAAGGGGACCCTTCTTAACCCTACTTTATGGCTCTCTAGCCGAGGAATTTATTGAGAGGGTCTATATCCCCAAGTCCCCCTAATCCGATCTCTATTGCGTTATAAAGTTGCCATAGAAAGAAAACCCTATTCTCTACTACAGGCTCAGACCCGCTTTTTTGGCAACTGAAGCGAGGTTCCTTAACAAGAACCCAAGCACCAGACTGGAAAGTATAGCTCTTAGAGTCGGTGGTGAAGAGGCGCTTGAGACCAGCCCGGGCTGCATACTCGATGCGCCAAGAAGGGTTGTAGACCTCTTTGGCCACTAGAATGCCATCGGCAAGCTGCCATTCGATGCCATAGCATGCATGCTTGCCACTCTCCACAATGGAGCTCAGCTGGGACACCGCTGCCATCTTGCTATCCTTCCTCCTCTACTTTCGAGCCTGCTGTGACAAAAAGCTACGGACAGGCTCGTCGACAACAAAAACCAGGGGCTCTTATGATTGGAGAGAACAGGAATCTTCTGAGGGTTCCTCCAAACGCTGTTTTGTATAATGGTTGCTATACCTGTTTAGTATAGGGGCCTTAGTGATTGGAATAGGGTCTTGGGATGCTTTCTTCGTATTGTTGTACATGGGCTACAAGGGAATAAATATCATTGCCAAGTTTTTCCGACCCTTATGTTCAACAGGGGTCTAAATTGGAGATCCACAAAAGGGTGGCGTATTTTCAAGCTGGAACCAGGCGCAGATGCCATAAACCCTAAGATCCGAAACCCTCGGAGCATGAAAACCTTGAACCCCCGACCTTCTGAACCCGAGCTCCCTTGCAGAAGTCCTCATGGTATCCCTTGCCGCCCAGACCTTCCAAGATCCCTTAATCAAGAAGTACTGTTGATGATATAAATCCTTAGCATGACCTTACGGACCCTAAACCATGGGAATTATGGTAGAATTCCTGCTTACGGGTACTGCAGGATTTATATCATCAACCGTATATGTGCATCACATTAGGGCTCCTACGATAGTTTACTTGGAGGTTCAGGGGATTTAGTATGTCGGTTATAAGTAGGGTTTTGATTAGGGTAACTCCATTTAGGGTACTTATAACTCTACTTACTAAGTCTGCTGGGCCTCTAAGTAGAAACGGTGTTGTAGGACTATACATATCCGTATACGTATAGTTACATAATATACATGTGGCTTCGGACCTCTAAGTAAGGTCTGTTCCTGATTTCTGGGTTTTGGAGCAGCCGCAAAAATAGGCCTTCGGAAGGCCTTTCTTTGGACTCCCCCCGCCTTCCGGTTTAGGGTTTAGGCTTTAGGGTTTAGGGCCTTAGGGCTTAGGGTTTAAGGTTTAGGGTTTAGGGTTTAAGGTTAAGGGTTTAGGGTTTAGGGTTTGGGGTTTAGGGTTTAAGGTCTAGGGTTTAGGGTCTACTCCCCCCGCCTTCACTGTGACGGTTTGTGTTGCTGGCGTAGGCTCTGCCGCCGCCTGCAATCACTCTGACATGTCTTGAAACCAACTCTTGGCAGTTGTCCCTAAACCCTAAACCCTGAACTGCAACAACCCCCTAAACCGATTCCTTCCTAATACGCTGTGTCTGTGAACACCACTACCGCGAGGGGTAAGTGCTCGGTGCTTATATTTGCTGCTTTTGCTAGCATTATCTGTCCCGAATCGTTGCCGCTGCTTCCTCGGACTAGAGGTGTTCTTCTCAAGCGTACGATTGTGGCGGTGCGAACGATGGTCGATATGGCCGGTATCATGTTTCTGCGCTGGCTCTGCATGTTGTATCTATGGGGGGGGAGGGGCGGCGATTCTTGCAGTTACTACAAGTGCCACTACCACACATGCTGCTTCTGTTGCCGTGACCCTTGTCATTGCCGCTGCCAGAACTGCATACTTACTCCAACTATTTCTCCTAATCACTTCTCTTGCAATAGCTTGCTCCTGCTGTTCCTATAGCCATCAATACCTCCAGCTCTTATTACTACTACTGCTACTGCTACTGCTACTGCTACTGCTACTGCTACTGCTACTGCTACTGCTACTGCTACTGCTACTGCTACTGCTACTCCTACTATTACTACTACTACTACTACTACTACTACTATTACTACTACCACCACCACCACCACCACCGCCACCATCACCACCACCAGTACTACTAGTACTAGTACTATGCTGATGCTGCTGAT